ATTTCCCAAATTTCCCAAATTCCCCAAATTCCCCAAATTCCCCAAATCCTCAGATCCAAATTCCCTAAATCTCCAAATCCTAATTTTCAAAATTCCTCAAATCCCCAAATCCTCAGCTCCAAATTCCCTAAATCCCCAAATCCTAATTTCCCAAATTTCCCAAAAATATCAAATTCCTCAAATTCTCCAAGTCCCCAAATCTTCAGCTCCAAATTCCCTAAATCCCCAAATCCTAATTTCCCGAATTTCCCAAATTTCCCAAATTCCTCAAATTCCCCAAATTCCCCAAATCTCCAAATCCTCAGATCCAAATTCCTCAAATCCCCAAATCCTCAGATCCAAATTCCCTAAATCCCTAAATCCCAATTTCCCAAATTTCCCAAATCCCCAAATCCTCAGATCCAAATTCCCTAAATCCCCAAATCCTCAGATCTAAATTCCCTAAATCCCCAAATCCTAATTTTCAAAATTCCACAAATCCCCAAATCGTAATTTTCAAAATTCCTCAAATCCCCAAATCCTCAGATCCAAATTCCCTAAATCCCCATATCCTATTTTCCAAAATTCCTCAAATCCCAAAAGTCTCAGATCCAAATTCCCTAAATCCCCAAATCCTAATTTCCCAAATTCCCTAAATTCCCCCAATTTCCCAAATTCCTCAAATTTCCCAAATTCCCCAAATTTCCCAAGTTTCCCAAATGTCCAAATTTTCTAAATTCCCTAAATTCCCAAGATTCTCAAAATTCCAAAATCCTCTTCCACCTTAAAAAATACCAACACATCACCCATAAATTTCCAGCTCAACCCTAAAATATTTCCAATACCCCACATGCACGAAACCATCTCCCAAAATTCCCGTGTATTGATTTTTATATTCCACTCTCGTTATATCGCAGAATACCATTACAAAAGCAATTCCATTAATATTTTTCAAATACCGCACAAGCGAATCAAATTTTAATTATTTTAATGGTCAATTTAATTAAACGGCAGAAAAATAACTCTTACCGTGATATCGATGGAATGATTGACCCCGAACGAGCTCGCATTACACGAGCAAAAATTGCTCGATTAACGGTCAACAATTATTGCGAAGACCGGCAAAGCACAGGGGCAGAATATTCCGCAAAGCTCGCGAGCATTGATTGAAAATTCACCGGGAAGTAGGTTAACGTTTCCTTTTTTTTTCCCCATCGCGAAAATCTCTCGTGGCCGTTGTATCGTAATCACGCGCGTTTTATTACACAAAGAAACGACGTGTACACGTTTCCCTAGTACAGGCATTAAAATTTCCTTTTGTACAATCAGGACAACGGGATAACGTTAGTGTTTCAGAAATTCCATTTCTGTGTCGTCGCGCGGAAATTAATCCGAAGGGAGGCAAAAAGGCCGCCATTGGGTTTATTTACTTGCTAAATATTTTCTGATGTTATGATACAACGTGCTCGATGGGGTATTAACTGCAAAAAAGAACTAGTCCCGATCGGAGGAATTTTTCAGAGCGAGGGAATTTTTGACTTAATTTGATTTGTGAAGGGTGTATTTTTCGTGAAATGATTTTAAAGTGCTTTACAATGGTGGTGTTTTGTTTTGTTTTAATAAGGAGAAATTCCTTATTAAGAATTAATAAGGAATTCAAGGTTTTGGATTTGAAGTCAGGAAAGTCAAGTGGTGTAAATAAAAAAAAACAATAGTGATATTAATAATAATAATAGTAATATTAATAATGATAACAGTAATAGTAATATTAATAATAATAATAATAATAGTAATAATAATAAGGATAATAATAATAGTAATATTAATAATGATAACAATAATAGTAAAAATAATAATGTTAATGATAATAGACAACGAAGAAAGTAAAATATACTAACGCAATTTTTTCCGAAAGAAAACAAATTATAAACAAAGCTTTTCTTCAGTTCTGGTCATTTAAACTGCGCGCCACATTCCGACGCATGCGCAGTACGCTTCTTCTACTTCCCGCGCCATATTACATTTCCAGCTACGTTTACGTAATATTTTCTTTAATATATTTGATGTAGGAGTGTTTAGATTGGTTATACAAGAGGGATATTACCTTTTAACGTTGACGCGTTGCTTGTAGGTGGTTTTGTAGTATAATTTCCTTCCTCGTCTACGAATACGTAACTTGCGTTAAATCCTGTACCGTCGTATCTGCCGTTGCTTTTAAATGTCACGCGAAAGAACTTTCTATCGCTCTCGACATCGAACTCCTTTTGTTGGCCACAGTGCCTGGAGTACTTCCGGTCCCTGGACATGTAGTTCGAAAATTCGACGAAATCGCTCGCCGATACTGCCTCGCATCTGGAATATTAATATTTTGAGGTTAATTTGAGGTTTAATTGTTGAGGGAGGAGGGGGATTTTCTAGGTCTCGAACTTGAATACTACTTTTGAACTTGAATATTCCTGACTGTCTAAATTTGCAAATTTTATGAGTTTCTATGTCACAAGTCACTAAATTGTATAATTCTCAACCTAGTAAATTTATAAATCTTCAGATAAACAAATTCCAAAAATCTTCAAATCCTCAGATCCAAATTCCTTAAATCCCTAAATCATCAGATTTTAATTTTTCAAATGCTTGCATTCACCTTCATAAAATTCCCAAAATTCCTAAAATTTCCAAATCCTCAAATTGAAATTTCCAAAATCCCCAAATCCTTAAATCTTTAAGACACCACGTCCCTAAAACCCCAAGTTCCTAAATCCTCAAATTCACAAATCTTCAAACTTACAAATCACTAAATCTCCAAATCCTGAAATCCATAAAATCCCACATCCCTGAAACCTCAAATCCATAAAATTCCCAAAATCCCAAACCCGCAAAATCCCTAAAATCCATAAAATTCCAAATCCTTAAAATCCTTAAAATCCCAAAGCCCCAAAATCCCTAAATTCCCTCAAATCCCTAAAATCCCTAAAATCCCAAATCCCCGAAATTCCTAAAATTCCTAAAATCCCAAATTTCCAAAATCCCTAAAATCCCTAAAATCTTTAAAATCCTTAAAATCCCAAATCCATAAAATCCCTAAAATCCCTAAAATCCCAAAGCCCCAAAATCCCTAAATTCCTTCAAATCCCTAAAATCCCTAAAATCCTAAATCCCCGAAATTCCTAAAATTCCTAAAATCCCTAAAATCTTTAAAATCCCCAAAATCCATAAAATTCCTAAAATCCCAAATCCCAAAAATCTATAAATTCCGAATCCCCAAAACTTCAAAATCCACAAATAAAAGAAAACAATTTTTCTTTTCACAAAATTAACAAATCCTGCAATGCTCGCAATACAAATTGAAATTTAAATTGGAAAGAGAAAGAGGCACCGGTTGAAAAATATGTATAAAGTGATTTCGATCTTTTGTGACGGAAAATGCAACTTCAAAAGGAACAGTGATTTATTCTCGTGGAAAACTGTCGGACTGTTGTTTACAGGTTTAATTAATAAACATTGAAAATACTGAAAAATTCTGATTCCACGCTTTCAATTTGTAAAAGCTACTTTTGTTGCTCCAATTCTTCAATCTTTCACAATAACACATTTTTCAGAGTTTGATGGACGTAACTGAAATTGTTCGAAAATTCACGAACATAACACCGTTAATCAAAATAACGATCAATCGATCACTGTAAATTAAATATTGTGTTTGTGTCTTGTCTGTCAGGGAAAATACTGAAAAATAAATTTTCTTTATTTCGTTTGAATAATTGCGTTATAGCGAATGATTTCGTAATTGTTCGATAACGTTTTCTTTATTAATTTTGGTTTATTCTCGGTTTTTTAATTTCTTGAAAAATATGTAATTTCGTCAATCTTAAAATTATAATTTAATCCTATAATTTAATCAGTCTTTTCAGAGATACATAAAGAAAAATGCATCAATTAAGCAAGAAAATTGATACAAAAATATTTAATATTTTTTCTGCAATTTAATATTTGTAACATTTCTTTTGAAACGTTCAATAGAAAACTGATATAAAAAGTAACTTTACTTCGCTCTCAAGAACACCAAAGCGGTAGTAATTTATATTTTTAAGCTTCTGAAGGTCGTTCAACTCACGTACGACCTAGTTGTTCATTTTCTATACTACAATCCTTGCCAGGGAACCATTTTCAAAAATCTTCCACAGAACACCATTCTTTATGAATCGTTCGGTTTTCTTCTATGGCTTAACGTACAACACCCCCTAAATGAAATCTTATTCAATAGAATTTTTATTAAAAAATGAACTTTAACTTTTGATTTTCACATTTATTAATAGTATTTTTATAAATCGACCAGGTCAGATATATCGATATCAAAAAATGCAAAATTACGTACGCACATATTAAACATGAATATAAAAGCAATACACTGTTTCAGTATCCTTTATTACGGAAGTTTGATCCGCTTATTGTGTACATTTGCGCGAGTTATCATTTCCTTTCGACGATGGAAAGAGGTTATGTAAAAATTTGAGGAACGGACATTTTGTTCATTTCGGTACATTATTTGCTTTTAATATAACGTACGAGTGTATTGATTTATGAATTTTAGATTGTTCTTAGTTTTGATAAAATAGGAAATCGTTTTTGGGGGGTTATAAAATTATTTCTGATTGGTTAGGCTTCTTGGATGTGGAATATTTGGTCGAGGTTAAAGTTTGTGCTAGATTTAGGGATGTTTAAGAGGTATTTTAGGATTGTAAAGTGGTGAAGTTCCAAAAGATGATAATTTTCAAAGTCCCAAAGTTGCAAAGTCCCAAATTTTCAAATCCCAAGTTTCCAAAGTCCCAAATCTCAATGGCCCCAACTCTCCAAGGTCCCAACTCTCCAAAGTCCACAAATTTCAAAGGCCCCAACTCTCCAAGGTCCCAACTCTCCAGAGTCCCCACTCTCCCTAGTCTTCACTCTCCAAAGTCCCCACTCTCCCTAGTCCCCACTCTCCCTAGTTCCCACTCTCCAAAATCCCCACTCTCCCATGTCCCCACTTTCCAGAGTCCCCACTCTCCAAAGTCCCCACTCTCCCATGTCCCCACTCTCTAAAGTCCCCACTCTCCAGAGTCCCCACTCTCCAAAGTCCTCACTCTCCAAGGTCCCCACTCTCCCTAGTCCCCACTCTCCCTAGTTCCCACTCTCCAAAGTCCCCACTCTCCCATGTCCCCACTCTTCAAAGTCCCCACTCTCCAAAGTCCCCACTCTCCCAAGTCCCCACTCTCCAGAGTCCCCACTCTCCAAAGTCTCCACTCTCCCAAGTCTCCACTCTCCAAAGTTTCCACTCTCCCAAGTCCCCACTCTCCAAAGTTTCCACTCTCCCAAGTCCCCACTCTCCAGAGTCCCCACTCTCCAAAGTTTCCACTCTCCCAAGTCCCCACTCTCCAAAGTTTCCACTCTCCAAAGTCTCCACTCTCCCAAATCCCCACTCTCCAAAGTCCCCACTCTCCAGAGTCCCTACTCTCCCAAGTCCCCACTCTCCCATGTCCCCACTCTCCTAAGTCCCCGCTTTCCAACGCCCCCACTCTCCAAAGCCCCCACTCTCCCAAGTCCCCACTCTCCCAAGTCCCCACTCTCCAAAGTCCCCACTCTCCAAAGCCCCATCTCTCCAAAGTTCCAAATTTGCAAGATCCCAACTCTCCAAGGTTCCAACTCGCCAATGTTCCAACTCTCCAAAGTCCCCACTCTCCAAAGTCCCCAATCTCCAAGGTCCCGACTCGCCAATGTCCCAAATTTCTAAAAGCCTCAAATTGCAAAGTTTCAACTCTCTAAAGTCCCAAAATCCCAAAATCCCAAAACCCCCAAATCCGAAACCCTATTCCCATCCCCACCTCCCTAAGTTTTTCCCCAAAAAATTCACATCCCATCAAAAATTCCATCGACCACTTGATCACAAACTCTCAGCCTTATCTCCCCAAATAAACCCACCCTCTTCCAAATAGCCGAATAATTACTGCATGAACTGACTCCCGCTATTCAACACACGACTAGAAATCTCATAAAAGCACACACAGACACAGGAACATAATTCAATAAAAGATGACAAGTCTCTCCATAACCCGGTAACATGCACTTCAATTACATAGGTACGAAACACAATGGCGAATGTATTATTCAGGACCGTTTCCAAGTGCGCCGTCGCCTGCGCGTCCAGGGAATTTATATTTTCGGCATGGCCGTACGTTACACAATCACCGGTAAATTGATACGCATGGGGAGATATGAAATGTCTTGAGAGCGGTGCTTCCTTGAAATATTCACCTTTCGCGGGGAATATCGAAAAGATTCGAATGATTTTTCTTGATGGCATGGCGGCGTCGTAAATTGCTTTCGTAGCCGGACTACCGGCAATTCCATAAGTAATTCAATCTTGGCTCTTTCCGCGCATAATTTCAATATACATGTGCGAACCGGCCCCGGCTTTACAATCGGAATAACCATCGGTTATTCTCTGTTCTCGGATTTTCCGCTCTATTCTGCTCGCTTCATAAATATTTTTGTAGCCAGGATACGCTCGGTGCGGCGCATTAGGGCACTGAAAAAACGAACATGTACTGAAACGTATTAACTTTATTTATTTCATTTTGCTTCATTTGCAATGTTCGTTTAAATCAAGAGACGAGAAATCATCTTCTTGCTGGGAAATTTAGGACTTTGTAATATTGTATATGTTTGACTACTCTGGAATTTAATCGAAATCAATTACACTATTAGGGAGCAGCCATTTTGTATAGTGTTGTACATCAAAATAATAGTTCACTTCCAACGTTTCCAAATATATAAATCATATCTTTTTAATTTCTTTCTATCAATTTTGATTGATTCTTGATTTCATCAGGTGAACAGTTGACTAGTTGCCACATTGAATTCGCCATCTTGTAATTTGTGATATGTTCGTCTACTCCTGAATTCAATCGAAGTGAATTACACCATTAATATACAACCATTTTGTATAAAGTTGCACATCAAAATAAAAGTTCACTTCCAACGTTTCAAAATATAACAATTATATCTCTGTAATTTGCTTCTACTAGATTTTATTCATTCTTGATTTCGTCAGGTGAGCAGTTTAGCAGCCATATTGAATCCGCCATCTTGTGACTCCTCATACGACAACTACTCCTGAATTCAATCCAAATTAATTACACCATTAATATACAGCCATTTTGTATAACGTACATCAAAATAAAAGTTCACTTCCAACATTTTAAAATATATCAATGATGTCTCTTTAATTTGCTTCTATCAGTTTTTATTAGTCCTCGATTTTGCGAAGTGAAGAGTCGATTATTCGCCATATCGAATCCGCCATCTTCACATTCGCGTTGCAAATTTCACGAGGATAATTTCGGCACATTGTACCTTGGTAAATGAACTGTTTTTTGGTCTTAGATTTATGGGAGGTCCCAATTGCGTGGAACGGTCTATACACGATTTCAATATTGAGGAAACTTGCATTTCAATTCGGCTCAGGTACATTAATTTGTACTGGTGAAAATCGTGCGGTACGTGTCCGACGAATTTACAACTCGTCACCCTAAATGGCAGCCTGCGATACAATGTGGGTGACAAGGACGCAGTTGCAGTTCCACATTTTAATGGCAACGTGCAAGCTGGTCGAGGAAACGTCACGAACGACTGGTTCGGTAATTGTCGCCGCGGAAACAACAGAAATATTTGGTTTGGAAAAGGTCCACGCTGCAATCCTGCAAGCTGTAAATATTTGATATCGCGTTTATTGATCACTATTAGCATGTGTATGTCTCACGCATGATTATAATAACATTTGCTCTATCGGCAATATAACGAGAGTCAAGTATAGCACTGAAAATTTTTCATGAAACCTTGGGTCCAAATTGACCCACTTTCGTACTAAATAGATAAAACGGAGATGACCACGTGATAAGCTAATTGGATCGCACAAGATCATCCTCGATAGCTATCGTTCATTACTGATAGCCTCTAATTAGTCGTGTTTCGCCAATTCCTGTCGAACTTTTGAACAATGCTCCGAAGAGGAAGAGCGAAGTAGGTCTCGCGACTTCATTGATCCCCGCTCCAGAAAATGTGGCCTGAATTTAATAATTCGAGGTCGATATCGAGAATCCCGCAAGAAGCATCTGTTATTACAGCCTGGGACCGGTAGAGGATTTTTGCCTCGAATTTCCTTTTTTCTCCTCCGACGAAAAGATTGCTCGTAAATATCGCCGGTTCGAACGAGAGTTCAATTAGACGAAGTGCAGCACGATCCAACGGGATATCGAGCCGACTACCAGGGCAAAAGATACATTCGTACTCGTAAATCCGGGCTCGAGTAAACAGTTCGAAATGTATGTTCGGAAACGTGAGAACCGAACGATGATCTGTCACGGGAATTGCCACTTATGTCATCGGCGGAAAGAGCCGCTCGATATATTACCACCATGGAACTCTCGCGATAATAGCGTCATCGTTCACGTATCAATGCTTCTTACCGACGCGATATATTATTTATAACAGCGAATCAATTCCACTTGGATCGCTGTTATCGATCCTGTTTATTCCTTGGATCTTGCCTCGAGATCAGACACGATACGCTGATATTTTACGTGCTCTTGGCAAGGGAGTACGCCATCGCTCATACGGGACTCACGCATGCGCAGTTAATCCGCTCTGTCACCTGATGCGTGACGTACAGCCAATCACCGGATGATCTATGAGAATGGCGCTTTTGATTGGCTCGCGTTTAATGCACGATAGACTTCGTACATTAAACTGTACTTCGTATAAGTTAATAATATTGATTCCTAGTTCTATTCTTTCTAGTTCCAAAATTCCCTAGTTTCCAGTCTTCCTAGTTCCAAAATTCCCTAGTTTCCATTCTTACTAGTTCCAAAATTTCCTGGTTTCCATTCTTCCTAGTTCCAAAATTCCCTAGTTTCAATTCTTCCTAGTTCCAAAATTCCCTAGTATCCAATTTCTCTAGTTCCAACAATAGCTAGTTTCCAGTTTTCCAAATTCCAAAATTCCCTAGTTTCCAGCATTCCTAGTTCCAAAATTTTCTAGTATTTAATTTCCTTAGTTTCAACATTCTCTAGTTTCCAATTTCCCAAATTCCAAAATTCCATAGTTTCCAATTTTCCAAATTCCAAAATTACCCAGTTTTCAGTTTTCCGAAATCCAAAATTCCCCAGTTTCCATTCTTCCTAGTTCCAAAATTTCCTAGTATCCAGTTTCTCTAGTTCCAAAATTAGCTAGCATTCAATTTCTCTAGTTCCAAAATTCGCTAGTTTCCAGTCTTCCTAGTTCCAAAATTTTCTAGTATCCAATTTCCTTAGTTTCAACATTCCCTAGTTTCCAAATTCCCAAATTCCAAAATTCCATAGTTTCCAATTTTTCAAATTTCAAAATTACCCAGTTTCCAGTCTTCCGAAATCCAAAATTCCCTATTTTCTAGTCCTCCTAGTTCCAAAGTTTTCTAGCATCCAATTTCCTTAGTTTTAACATTCCTTAGTTTCCAATTTCCCAAATTCCAAAATTCCATAGTTTCCAATTTTCCAAATTCCAAAATTATCCAGTTTCCAGTCTTCTGAAATCCAAAATTCCCTAGTTTCCATTCTTTCTAGTTCCAAAATTCCCTGGTATTCAATGTCTTTAGATCCAAAATAACCTAGTTTCCAATTTTCCAAATTCAAAGTTTCCTAGTTTACTTATCAGTATTACCAATATTATCAATATTATCAATGTTACCAATGTTATCAATGTTATCAGTGTTGTCAATGTTATCAATGTTATCAATGTTATCATATCAATGTTATCAATGTTATGTTATCAATGTTATCAGTGTTGTCAATGTTATCAATGTTATCAATGTTATCAATGTTATCAATGTTATCAATGTTATCAATGTTATCAATGTTATCAATGTTATCAATGTTATCAATGTTATCAATGTTATCAATGTTATCAATGTTATCAATGTTATCAATGTTATCAATGTTATCAATGTTATCAATGTTATCAATGTTATCAATGTTATAAATATTATCAATGTTATCAGTGTTGTCAATGTTATCAATGTTATCAATGTTATCAGTGTTGTCAATGTTATCAATGTTATCAATGTTATCAGTGTTGTCAATGTTATCAATGTTATCAATGTTATCAGTGTTGTCAATGTTATCAATGTTATCAATGTTATCAGTGTTGTCAATGTTATCAATGTTATCAATGTTATCAATGTTATCAATGTTATCAATGTTATCAATGTTATCAATTTTATCAATGTTATCAATGTTATCAATGTTATCAGCCTTATCAATGTTATGAGTATCATCAATATCATCAATTTATAGATTTTAGCAAAATCAATTATTTTCTTTTTATTTAAAAAGTTCCGTTACTTTTCCGACATATTGTAGACCCAATAGAAAAATATTGCGGTCTTTATTGCAACAAATATCCAAATTATTATTTCCTAAATCCTTTTTAACAAATTTTAAGAAATAATCCTCCCCAAATGCCCAACTTCACAAATTGACCCACTAAATTATTAGAATCTGTTTTACAATATTTAACGAAGGTACCAGGTCTTTTTCTAATATTGCAAACTAACAGAAAGCCACATACATCGTGTTTTCTCTTGTTCAAAGACTAATCAGCATGGAACAATCAGCCGTGCTAATTGGCTACCTCGACGCAAATACACTCTGATGGACTTTTGCGCTATCTGTTACAGGATCCTCGTTTAGACATGGAGCTTTCGTCTCCGGTAAGCAGGTTGGAAAGTTTGTTTGACGCAGTTTGATTTAGTGGAACGTCGAACTGCATCGGGAAAGCCAATCGAACCGGTATCGATTTGCTTCCAGTAGACTTCTAGTTGGCTAAGGATGCTCACTTTGTCTCACCTCGTCTGGTTGAGTGACGAGAAGGAAGTCGAACAGGATCGATACATGGAATTCCAGTCACGATGGTGTAGTCAGTTTATCTATCGTGCTTGATCCTGTTCTCTTGCCCTTTCGCCGTCTATCTTCCGGATGATTTTTATTGTGCCTTGATTTTATATATTGCCCGGGCTGCTTTTTGCAAGCGAGGTAAATCGAAAGGAAACAAAGGTGCTACCTTGCGTGTATGTCCAGAATGGCTGAGGTAAATAAGGGCTATGTACAGTATCTTGCAAAACGTTATCAGATATTTTTATGAGTGAAGGCTTTTTTATTAATAAATGTGGTGCTTTTTTATTTATAACTTTTTCCGCGTAATTTATAAAATAAATGTAAAATCAATGGCAACTTGTTACAAGGTTAACGCTAAATGATTTCTTAAGGTAATTTTGATTTAATGCAGCATTAAAGAGAGATACTTACGGCATCACACCTTCCACATCGAAGAAATGAAAATGGAGGTGCACTCGTTCGTTCGGCTGGCCATTGAAGAAGTAATGGCATTCGGTGTCTCGAGGATACAATCCTGGATAATTTGGCGACGCGAATGTACCGTTCCGTGTCTCGCTGCTGTTGTAAACGAAGGCACAGGGATATGTCGCCTCTTGGCGGCCCGTCGTTATGCCGAAGTCTGCAACCGAAACAAAATGGCCGCGTAAACGTCTTACACTTCAAAATGGCCGTCATGAAAATCTCCACACTTTGCATATTTATTGTACGGTCATGTTATTATTTACGAATATTATTTACACTGTTGCGAGTATTCATAAAACTTATACAATTAAGAATATATATAAATTTATACAATTAAGTATTTATAAAATCTGTACAATTAAGTATTTATAAAATCTATACAATTAAGTATTTATAAAATTTCATGGCTACAGTGGTACTTAAAATGATATTATAATTTGTTCATATAAAACCTATTTAATTTGTTTGTTGATAATAATAAATCATTGTTAATGATTTTTGTTAAAATTAAAATAATTTTTGTTATTCTGTAAATAATAAAAATAATTCTAATTAAAAAATTTGTCACACAATGACAATAAATTAGAATGGGTTTTACAAAATGGTGGGAAAAGTGACACCATATTGTTTGAGTTTCTAAATATGTCGGGTGTCCGTTAATTAAATGGTGACCGTGTTTCATCAATTTAATCGCGAAAAGAAGAAAGTTCGTGCAACTTTGAATCGGTCTTGCAATCACCTTTGTTCGACTTTTCTTTCCGACCTCTTTCCTCTAATGAAAACTAGCTCAAACACCGCTTTGGATGTGAAATAGTAATTGTTGAAGGAGAAGAAAGAAGAAGAAAGAAGGATTTCAGCTGTAGCCCGAGGGAGCTCTCTCGGGCTGTTTCATTTCGTATTAAAGTATTTTGATTCCGATTAGTAACAGATGGAAGAGCTGAAGAGATTTTCGACGTTGAAAGAATGGCTCGGATCGTCGGTAAATGAAGATTCTAGGTGCGAGTGATCGAGTGGCCGAAGAAGTGTGCGAGTATGGCAATGATAAGTGTTCTCGAGGTTGGTCAATAAATTCGGAGAGCGCGGGAAAGTTCAGTGGGAACATAATGGACGAGTTGAAATCAGGAGGGTACATATTATTGAAACCTTTTGATGGTCAAGTACGGAAATTACTCTAAATAAGTTTTATTATTTTTAAGAAAATTGATAAATTTAATATTTTAAGGTTTTTATGTATTACAGTTCCAAATTATAATTTTTATATATTATTAAAATTAGAAAGTGTGGACATTTCAAAGATCTAAGATTCTAGGGTTACAAAATTAAAAATTTCCCAAATTTTCAAGCTTCACATTCCAAATTCCAAAATTCCCTAGTTTCCATTCTTCCTAGTTCCAAAATTCTCTAGTATGCAATTTCCCTAGTTCCAAAATTACCTAGTATCCAATTTCTTTAGTTCCAAAACTCCCTAGTTTTCAATTTTCCAAATTCCAAAATTCCCTAGTTTCCAATTTCTCTAGTTCCAAAAATAGCTAGTTTCCAGTTTTCCAAATTCCAAAATTCGCTGGTTCCCAATTTTTCAAATTCCAAGATTCCCTAGTTTCCAGTCTTCCTAGTTCCAAAAGTTTCTAGTATCCAATTTCCTTAGTTTCAACATTTCCTAGTTTTCAAATTCCCAAATTCCAAAGTTCCCTAATTCCAAATTTATCAAATTCCAAAATTCCCTAGTTTCCACTCTTCCTAGTTCCAAAATTCCCTAGTTTCCATTCTTCCTCGTTCCAAAATTTCCTAGTATCTAATTTCTCTAGTTCCAAAATTACCTAGTTTCCAGTTTTCCAAATTCCAAAATTCCCTTGTTCCCAATTTCTCAAATTCCACATTTCTCTAGTTTCCATTTTCCCTAGTTCCAAAATTCCCTAGTTCCCAGTCATCCTAGTTCCAAAATTCTCTAGTTTCCATTCTTCCTTATTCCAAAATTTTCTAGTATCCAATTTCCTTAGTTTCAATATTCCCTAGTTTCTAATCTTCCAAATTCCAGAATTCCATAGTTTCCAATTTTCCAAATGCCAAAATTCCTCAGTTCCCAGTCTTCCGAAATCCCAAATTCCCTAGTTTCCATTCTTTTTAGTTCCAAAATTCCCTAGTTTACTTATCAGTATTACCAATATTATCAATATTACCAATGTTATTAATGTTATCAATATCATCAATATTATTAACGTTTCCAATTTTCCAAATGCCAAAATTCCTCAGTTCCCAGTCTTCCGAAATCCCAAATTCCCTAGTTTCCATTCTTTTTAGTTCCAAAATTCCCTAGTTTACTTATCAGTATTACCAATATTATCAATATTACCAATGTTATTAATGTTATCAATATCATCAATATTGTCAACATCATCATCATCATCAATATTATCAATATTATCAATATTATCAATATTACCAATGTTATTAATGTTATCAATATCATCAATATTATCAACAGCATCAACATCATCAATATTATCAATATTATCAATATCATCAATATTATCAATATTACCAATGTTATCAATGTTATCAATATTATCAATATCATCAATATCATCAATATCATCAATATCATCAATATCATCAATATTATCCATCTTTTCAAATTCCATAATTCCCTAGTTTCTACTCTTCCAAATTCCAAAATCCATAAATTCCCATATTCTCAAAACTCTACCTAACCAAAATCCTCCCCAAACCCAATTCCCCAGTTCAACCCACATCTCCCTAATTCCCCCCAAAAAATTGTCACCCGCGCAGTCACTAATTGCGAGTATCCGTATACTTCCACCCTGTTTACACATTATTTGATCACCTCACGATGTTTGCGTACGCTGGCACCTATTCACCTGGTGCGCTTAATAAATATTGACGTACACTAATGAACAGCCATGCATCGAAGTATAAAGCATCGCCGTCATAATTGCTATATCGTAACACGATGGTTATTAATAAACAACGTGGGTCGTAATGGATTACGTATTATTAACTAGATGTTCGAAAATCGAATGCGAGAGCGACTGCCTCAATTTGCCAATGAATATACATACATCTGTCGAATGATCCGAATGCGACCGTACAACCCCCTCCGTGTCAATATTTCAGCGTATAAATCATGTTGGACAATTTAATGTTTCGCGGTAAACAGTGACAGTTCTTGTTAATTCGTTCGAGTGGAATTTTTTGGCCAACACCTGTCAAACTGATTTTAATTTTTTATTTATGTGGAACGTCAGAAAATTATGGACTGTGTATTAATCAAATACACAGTAAAATAATCAAAAATAATCATTTTTTTTAATGGATATTTTTATTTTGGGTCCTACACAGTATGTGGGAAAAGTACATACTGCATATAATTAAATTTATTTTCGTTCAGTCAGTTTTACCCGTTCTATATAAAATACTTCCCATTTGCTTGCCTTTTACATCTCATTATACCGACGTGAATATTTATGAAAAATTACTTTTATAAAATACAATTCCGCGTAATTACGATTTCCCGTAACGTTTATGTTTCAACCATTTTTTCACCCCATAGTTTTATTTCCATCTCAACAGTTAAGGAACTGACTTGTTTACACGGAATCGTGTTCCATTTATTCTCTCGGCCAACTTACTCTTTTTCCTTATCTCTCCCGTCAGTATTTTTGTTATACCTTTTCTTTCTACACGCTTTTTATTTATTCTCCATCGAGTTCATCCGTTCCTAAATAACTTTCTTTCCCTTTGATCGCAGCTGTTTATAAATACTCCCTTCTTTTTCTCTTATACCTTCATTAACTATTTTTCTTCTTTCCTCTTCACTTTTTACCTGCTCTGGATTCTAACTTTATCCTGATCTTTTTTACACGTTATCTCTGTTGGGAGCGTAATCAGTAGCTTGATAATTACCTGCTATTGGGGCTCTGGATGCTGCATAGTATCAAGTGTCAAATATGTCCCTTTCCAATGAATATTTTACTCTAGTCTTCATAAATGAATATGTCACACGGAATTACATGTAAGTGCAATTCATATGTGTTTTGGAATATGTGACTTACATAAGTGTGGTACATCAAAGAATATGTGAGTTGAATAAATATGTCGTGTGAGACAATATGTGAGTTAAATATATATGTCATATGAAGCAGTATGTGAATTACATACATGTATCATATGAAACAATATGTGGATTGAATAAACATATCATATGAAGCAATATGTGAATTACATTCATGTATTATATGAAGCAATATATGAATGACTTACATGTATCATATAAAGCTATACATATGTGAATTATATACATGTATCGTATGAAGATTTATGTGAATGATCTACATGTATCATATGAAGCTATATGTGAATGACCTACATGTATCATATAAAGCTAAACATATGTGAATTACATACATGTATCATATGAAGCAATATGTGAATAATCTACATGCATCATATGAAGCAATATGTGAATAATCTACATGCATCATATGAAGCTATACATATGTGAATTACATACATGTATCATATGTAGCAATATGTGAATGACCTACATGTATCATATAAAGCTATACATATGTGAATTACATACGTGTGCCATGTGAAGCTATATGTGAGTTAGATAAATGTCACATGAAGCCATATGAGAATCACATAAATATCTAAAACATGTAAGTTCATCTTACATGAAATAGTACATAAGTCAAATAAATATCACACATGCAACATGTGAGTATGTACCACATGAACTAATATGAAAGTTAAGGTGTTAGACGAAACAACAAGGTAGTCTTTATTAAATCGAACAAAGAACAGTCGTATCCGAAGAGCCATAAAAACCGTGGGAGCGCAATAAGGCGAGGAATCTGGAATCCAGTGAAACGATTGTCGCGATCGTTGAAACCCGAAGACGAAAATTAAAGCTCGACGGTGGAAACGGGTTAATTATAGGATCTCGGCTCGTCAAGGCTCGTTTGAAATCGTTCGCCGACGACCAACTTGCCGTGGAACTTTCGAGTTCCCGGGCTTTCGGCCGTTATGCGCTGCGAGCAAGTTTCTTCGCGGTTGTAAACATCGGGTAATAAGCTTTAGCAAACGCCGTGCACTTTTGCGCTTAGTTAGCCACGTTTGTTGTACGACCGATGCACT